TAAACTAATCAGTAGTAGTGTTCACAGTTCACCGTCGAAAGGTGAACTTTTAAATCCATTTGTGTGTGTCCAGAATTATCCGCGTTTTAATGTCGAATCGTCATTTCTTGAGACACTACCATATTATATAGAAATAAAAAATGAAATTCCTAGTTTGAGGTATTTTTTTTAAAGGAATTTTGCGATTTTGGTATAATTCTTGTACTTCTGAAGACTATTTACATATATTCAAGACTCAAATCAACCTCCGATAATGGCGAAGCTGTCTCTTTAAATGCCGAGAATGCTTATAACATTACTAGGTATGATTCATCGAAAGATCCACAATTTGATCAATTATTTCAGTCGACAATAGTTTATGATATATCAGCAGAATCGCCATTTTTAATGAAACAATAAATTACATCTGTTACTAAAAACGAAAAGTGATGCAGTAAACATTTTTATCAGAGCTTAGGCAAGATTCAGCAAGTTTCAGACTAGTATAATAACTATCAGATACTAGGCAAGATTCAGCAAGTTTCAGACTAGTATAATAACTATCAGATACTAGGCAAGATTCAGCAAGTTTCAGACTAGTATAATAATTATTAGAGACTAGGTTAGAGTCAGTAAGTTTCAGACTAGTATAATAACTATCAGATACTAGGCAAGATTCAGCAAGTTTCAGACTAGTATAATAACTACCAGAGACTAGGTTAGAGTCAGTAAGTTTCAGACTAGTATGATAACTATCAGAGACTAGGTAAGAGTCAGTAAGTTTCAGACTAGTATAATAACTATCAGAGGCTAGGTAAGAGTCAGTAAGTTTCAGACTAGTATGATAACTATCAGAGACTAGGTAAGAGTCAGTAAGTTTCAGACTAGTATAATAACTATCAGAGACTAGGTAAGAGTCAGTAAGTTTCAGACTAGTATAATAACTATCAGATACTAGGTAAGAGTCAGTAAGTTTCAGACTAGTATAATAACTTTCAGAGACTAGGTAAGAGTCAGTAAGTTTCAGACTAGTATAATAACTATCAGAGACTAGGTAAGAGTCAGTAAGTTTCAGACTAGTATAATAACTATCAGAGACTAGGTAAGAGTCAGTAAGTTTCAGACTAGTATAATAACTATCAGAGACTAGGTTAGAGTCAGTAAGTTTCAGACTAGTATAATAACTATCAGAGACTAGGTAAGAGTCAGTAAGTTTCAGACTAGTATAATAACTATCAGAGACTAGGTAAGAGTCAGTAAGTTTCAGACTAGTATAATAACTATCAGAGACTAGGTAAGAGTCAGTAAGTTTCAGACTAGTATAATAACTATCAGAGACTAGGTAATAGTCAGTAAGTTTCAGACTAGTATAATAACTATCAGAGACTAGGTAAGAGTCAGTAAGTTTCAGACTAGTATGATAACTATCAGAGACTAGGTTAGAGTTAGTAAGTTTCAGACTAGTATAATAACTATCAGAGACTAGGTAAGAGTCAGTAAGTTTCAGACTAGTATGATAACTA